TAGACTCAGAGCGCACAAATGGCTTTAACGCGACCTACTTCCAAGCTCTGGCATTTGATCACGACCTTGGAAGGACGCGCGGTATAGACGCTGCTTTGCGCGATCACAACCTCGATGCGCTGATACTTCCTGCGACGGGACTGACGTGGACTCCGCCAGGTGCGTTCCGTTTCAATATAATGGTTTTTCTAGGCTGATAGGTTCGACTAGCACTCGCTGGATATCCCATCATCACTGGTGCACAGCTCCCTTTAAGTTTCACCCCTCCTCACCTGACTAACGATTTCATAGTCCCGCTGGGATTCTTTTTCGATAATGTCACTATTGGAAGGGCGGGACCGCTCACAGTATATCCTGCTCCTGGTGTTCCTTTTGGTCTCTCGTTCCTTGCAGGCGCCTTCTCCGAATTCGAACTGGTCGGTTATGGATTTGCATACGAGCAAAAGACAAAAACGCGAATTGCGAGAAGGGCTTACCCTGCTGCGATACCCAAGACGCAGCTACAGGATGTGATTGGGCTTCTATGATTGGGAGTGGGGTCGGGCAGTGTCCTATGAATCGTCACATAGTCCGAATTGGAAATGGAATAACCACAACCGCTTTCTAGTCCTGCCAAGCGAGCCTACTTCTCTGTGAGCTGTCCGCAACTCCGATTGATCAATAACCAGTTGAATATGGTGAGCTAGAGTGTCCGAAGGCACAGAAAGTACTCGAACGCTCGAAAGTTCGGCGGTACACGGTCATGTGATCGTTCCAGAAATTTCGCAGACCTCCTCCACCTTCCTCAGATCCTCGCCTATAGTCGGTGCTGAATAGTTACTTTGAGATACGTCACTTTTTGGCAGACATTTCAAGAAAGTTCTGAGCAAGTCCCAAAAGTATAAAACCAGGCCTGAAGGTCAGCAGCGAGTATCAGGCTAAGACAAGTTACAACCACAACCGCGACTACTCGACTCACCACTCACAATGTCTTCTTCCATCTACTACTACGAACCTTTCTACAACTTCGACCGCTTCTTTGACGAGTTCTTCACGAGGTCTGGGCGAACTGCCCCTTCAAATGCTGAAGGTGGGGAAGCCCTTCAGAGGCAAGCGTCTGACGCAGCTATCACTCAAGCATTGAAACCAAGGTATGTCCTTAGCAGGTCATATGCTTCAGAGACGTGGACACCATCTAACCCTCTTTCAATAGAATGGACCTCCACGAAGACGCTGAGAAGAATACAGTCACCGCGACGTTCGAGCTCCCGGCTTGAAGAAAGAAGACGTCCAGATTGATGTCCGCGATGGACGCCTCACGATTGCTGGAGAGACCAAGATCTCCGAGGAGCACAACAACGATGGCTACGCCGTTCGCGAGCGACGATTTGGCAAGTTCTCCAGAACTCTGCGGCTTCCTCAAGGTGTCAATGTAAGTAGATTCAGGTATTCGGTATCCGTAGACTAGTTCTGACTGTGCTTTCAATAGGAGGATGAAATCAAGGCTGGACTTGAGAACGGCGTGCTCACAGTCTCCTTCCCGAAGGCTGGAAAGGAGGCAGCGCCCAAGAAAATCACCATTTCTTGAACGGGTTAGCGACGCTGATGGGCCTGACGATTCTGTTATATGGGACTTGGATCATTCTCATCCTCTTCTGTAGATAAACTGCTGTCTGTATCAATAGCTGTTCGAATTCTTGTCAAACAAACGCCCTCTTACTCGATATCGTTTTAACTTGGAGGAAGGTACATTTCTTACGAGTTGATTGCACAGTAATAAGACGGGGCAAGTCAGCGCAAATCACAGAGTCATACAGAGCACTACACAGAACTCACCATAGTCAAAGGAGAACAAGACTGTTCGCGCCTTAAAGGAGTGAAAGCGCTGGATACGGTCGACGGAGACACAAAGACTCGCCAAATTTACTCGTATGCCCCAGCTTGCATTTTTTTTTTCAGCGCCTTTCTTTCTCGACCGCGCCGTATATTGTAATTTCCTTGAACAACCAAGAACAAGAAAGACAGAGAGTAAATAATGGAGTCCTTGAAATGCCAGGAAAGAGGGGAACCACGAGACTTCGCGCTTTGTCGTGACACTGATCGTGGTTAGGAAGAAAAGGTTGCGGTCCGACAAGCGCCCATCATCGCGTCTTTCACTCGAACCACAACTGTCTTGTCTTTTTCCATCCTCACACTAACAGATTTCTCCTCTTTTCGATGTTGCAGTGGACGATGGACGAATTGCGTGCACAAGATAATCCTCCCCATAACACTTTCATTGCATCCAAGTCTGTTCTTGCCCCTTCTGGTGGGCCTTCGAGGGAGGCTAAGCGTTTCAAGAGCGATGATAGCGCACTGTTGCCCCGGCAGAGAATGATATCGCGAAAGTCGATCAAGCCTGCTCGTAAAGCAATACCCGCACCACGGCCGTTGTTGTCCTCTGATAGTGAATCCCATGTACAAGGCCAAAACTCTCAGTTTCGCACGAAGACCGTTCAGAGGAAATCTGCAGCTCCGACAACGGTACAGTCGATGCCTGGAATTATTGTTCCATCGCAGGTGAAGTGAAGGAATTTTGGATGTTTTCATCACTCAGTTGCTCAAAATGACCATCACTCCCAGCCTTCCACATCAGGATTCCAGACAACTCAAAGAACCTTTCACCGTGGTCATAGTAGGTCCCATCTTACAGTCGTTATTTCATGCTCACAGCGTTAGTAGAACAACTCGTCACCAAATCAGTCAAATCGGTTCATCAGACTCCTCTTGGAAAGACTTCCCGAAGAACACCATCCAGGATGGTTGCACAAAATCCGGTTGATCAGTATCCATCTCCGCAGTTCCCAGTGAAGACACTACCTAAACTCCAAAACTGGAATTGGCCGGGCTACAACTCTGGGGACGATGGGGTAGCCCCGAGACGGCGGGTGCCAACTGCTTCCGCAACGACGACACAACGCTACCATACTACCCACGCGGACAGTGTGCCGGAGCTCAGCGCCTACCTTGACCCCGACCACGGCCTTCTCTCACACGAGCTGAACGTCGATGACTATGGTCCTTCGAATCCTCATCAACGTCCGCTACAGAAATTTGCAAGGAAGACATCTGTCCCAGAACCACCGGAAAGCGATAGCGACTCAGAGTTTCCGGTCCGTGAAGACTCCGACGACTCCGACACTGACGATTCGGAAATCCAGGTTATCGAACCACCGAGACTTCTCACCAATACGACTTCGTCCAAAATCAAGGTTGACAAAGAACCAACACGTGCCCTCGTTAATGCTTTGAAGGAATATGTTTCTTGGCTGCCGGAGGGCCGCATGCCTTTTCTGCGGCGCAACCTACACGTCGGCTTTCGAAGTCATTGTCGTGCCAGGGGTGTCTATTTGGACTCGGAAGACGAAAATGTGGTCGTTCAACTTGAAGCCACATACATTTACGAGACCGATGCAGGCCCGGCTAGTTTTACGACCCCAATAGCGCCTTCAAGTTGGATTTGTCCACTTTGTCTGCTTCACCGGAAGTTCTCGAACCGTTACGTTCTTCAGAAGCACTTGGAATGGGATCACCACGACGTCCAGGCGCGATGGGTGAGGGGCACGAGTGATATGATGACCGTGAGTTTGCGGTTGCTCCGTTTTGCTAGTATTCATTGATTGTGCTCGTGTTATTGACTTTAAAGGGGTGGACCGTTGAGCTTACTCTGCCGTTACCCTCCGCCTTGAACATGGATGCGCAAATTCGCCCCCATCCTCAATACACGACCTACGAAGAAGAGAACCGCTCCAACGTTCCATGGAAGTTTGAGGAATTCGATAATAATCTCAAAGCGTACAAACAACAATGGGGGAAAGACAGAGGGAAAGGGAAAGCACGGGAATCATCCTTCACTCCGACGTCGTATCGCGAGGAAATCTCCACACGAAATTCCAGCCTATCCACTACCACCATTTCCTATCGAAATGCGGTGTCTACCCGTGATATATCTAGTACTCTTGCATCCTCAGTGGCTTCCACAGCAGAACCGTCAACCTCTGCTTCCACTCCACAGATACATGTGAAAAAGGCGCGCTCCATCTCACCTCCGATTACTCTGACGGCAGGGGACGAGGAAGAGGAAGAGTTCAATCCTCTTGGGCCTACTGCGAAGTACCCTTACCTCCCCGTACAATCAGACGACGGAAAATTCATGATTAAATATTCTTGCCGAACTGGTGGGCCGAAAATCTATGACCTACTGGGAACACTGCCTATGGACCAGTTTGGGGTTTTGGCGTGGGTGGTTCTGGACCGAGAAGAGGAGATTTTTGAAGTTGACGATATCAGAGATGAGTGTAAAGTCATGCATGCGTTATGGGCGAGATGGATTTTTTTGAACCGGTGAGTGCGTGATTTGAGAACCCTGCGTGACGAGGATGCTGACCTGCTATACAAACAAGAAACGTGTTTATTCGTAACTATGTCGAAGGGGTTCAAACCTTTATTGATGAGTATTGGAAGATCATACAACGAGCGGCCGGATGGGAGGCCCTGCGTTATTGGCTACTAGTAAGTGCACATTTGTTGTCCTTCTTCTCCGGCTCACTCAATGCTCCTTAGCTTCTTCTCCCAACGAAATTTTTGACCGGTCACGACGTCGCTCAGCTTCTCAAGTATTACGAGGAAAAAGTAGGAGTAAGGTGAATGGAGACGTCAGTACCAGGTGAAGTGTTCAGTTTCTTGATGGTGAGTACACTCACGTCTTGCACTCTGTACTCCTGTGCTTCGAATTTACACCTTCTGGAGTTCTAGACTTTCTCTGCGGATGATTCTTCTCCCTGCTCCTGCTCAATACCGTTGTACTGCACGTTAGATACCCTCCCTCTACTCCGTTCTTTTCTTGCTACAAACACCTCGGAATTTGATGGATTTTGTCCTAATAGCGTACCCATGTCTTTGCCAACTATCCTCGACAAGACACGCTGGTATTGAATTAGACCCTGACGTGGTACATACTTGTCTGAGCCAATTACTACCAAGGCACTATAGCCAAGTGGTTACGGCGACAGATTCGAATCCGGTTTGATATCTGTTCCTCTTTGAGGGCGCAGGTTCAAATCCTGCTGGTGTCGGTCGGAATTTTTTCATGATCTCGGAGTTTTTCATTCCTTAATTTCCGAGTTCTTCCTATCCTGAGCTATTTAGATAGCATCCTCAATAGCATATTTACCGCTTCCACAGCTGCTGAACCCGTATAAAAGACTAGGCCCTCTGCAAGAAGTCCAGGAAGCGGCTCCGGGTTACTTGGGGTACTTTGTGACCTTCTGAACACTTTCTCTTCCCGTTCCAGTTAGCACGCGCGCGGTTTGGATCCGGTGCAATGTTATTTTCAAGATTCGCCGTTCGCCGTGCTCCCTCTTCTTCCTTCACCCCCATCTCCTATCGATCTATATCGTCCAAATCGTCAACAATGCGTTCTCTCACTGTCGACTCTCTCAACCCTTCCCTTCTCAAAGTCGAGTATGCAGTTCGAGGTGAACTGGCCATCAAAGCCGAGGAATATCGCAATAAGCTCAAAGAGGCCGACCATGGGTTGCCTTTTGACAGAGTCATCTCCTCCAACATCGGAAACCCTCAACAGGTTGGACTGGATCAACCGCCGATTACTTTTACCAGACAGGTGAGCAACTGTCCTTTGACTCATACAATGGTTGGGTGGAACAAGTCGAGGAGCTTCTATGGGACAGGGTATGTTGCTTTCTTCGCCTCGGTTCCTTTTGGGGGACTTACTTATGACCTTTCCAGGTGTTTTTGCTTCTCGAGACGCGCTCTGAACGCGCTTTGCAAGGCCCGGACAGTCCCGAGACGGGATGCCGTGTCTTCCATGCAACCCTGAGAGCTACGGTCGATATCGACAATGACCATTCTCCGATGGTTGCGTAGCAAGGATCAGATATCCCCATCAGAGATCCGCCTCCCCCGTTCCGCTCTCCTGGAATTCGATGATCTGCATCTACCTCAATCTCATCTTGTCTCCTTCCGCGGTCTTCTCAGGTTGTCAACTAACAATGATCTTCTTTCAAACAGGTTGCTGCATTGATGGAATACCCCGAACTAGCAAAACTCGCCCCGGATGTCTTTGCGAAAGACGTCCTGGCAAGGGCTGCGGAACTCAAGGCGGAGATCGGTTCCATCGGTGCTTACTCGCACAGTCAGGGTGTTCCCTTCATTCGTCAGAACGTTGCCAAGTTCATTCAAGGTATGTACGCTACTCTCGATGGGCGAACTTTATTCTGATTCATATTCATGCCAGAACGCGATGGTTTCCCTGCTAACCCGAATCACATCTTCTTGACCGCCGGTGCTTCGTCTGGGGTCGCCCTCCTCATCTCCATGCTCATCTCGGATCCTAAAGCGGGCATATTAATCCCCATCCCCCAATATCCACTCTACACCGCTACCATCGCTCAATACGATGGTACTCCTCTTCCGTATTTCCTCGATGGGTCAGCAGAATGGTCTACCTCACTCCACGAGATCAAGTCTGCCCTCGAGATCGCGGAACGAGATGGCACAAACCCACGAGCCCTTGTCGTCATCAACCCAGGTAACCCCACTGGCGCGTTGCTTTCTGAAGAGACTCAGGAGGAGCTCGTTCGCCTCTGCGAAGAGCATTCCTTGGTTCTTCTCGCCGACGAAGTGTACCAGGATAACCTTCACAAGAGATCCACACACCCTTTCACGTCTTTCAAGAAGATCGTATCTCGACTGCAGTCACCCATCCCCCTCGTGTCGTTCCACTCGATCTCGAAGGGTGTCATGGGTGAATGTGGAAGGCGAGGAGGATACTTTGAATGCACCAATATCTCACCTGAGATCATGGCACTCATATACAAGATGGCTTCCGTTGGACTGTGCCCTCCGCTACAGGGGCAAATCTGTGTGGACACGCTGGTCCGACCGCCCAAGGAGGGAGATGAGAGTTATCCGCTGTGGAAGAAGGAGACGGATACAATTCATGAAGCTCTGGCTAGCCGAACTAAGGTCATGGCGGGGCGATTGAACGACTTGCCAGGGATCTCGTGTGTTGATTCTCCGGGAGCGTTGTATTTGTACCCCCAGATCTCCTTGAGCGACAAGGCGATCGAGGCAGCGTCAAAGGCTGGGAAACAGCCTGATACATTCTATGCGCTGGCGTTGCTGGACGAGACGGGTATCTGCGTGGTGCCGGGTAGTGGTTTCGGGCAGAGGGAGGGACACTGGCACTACAGGTTGACTTGTCTCTGCCCTGGCGTAGACGAGTACGTGGGCAAGTTGGAGAAGTTCCACAAGTCCTGGGTCGAGAAATACGGCCAGTAAAGATTAATGAAGGGTGGACCTGCAATAGATCTAAACGTGTTCTCGTTCTCACTCAGTCGGATATCTATCTGTTCGGCAATCGTACTACAGTGACTCACTCTGCCTCACTCTGATTCATGATGGGAATTCGAAGTGCGATGCTGAATGAATCCCTGGGACGTACCCAAGGTGTCGGCGGCATGTTAGGACTGCCAAATCAATGTCGCCCAACGCCGAGGAAGGCCGTCGCGTCATTCTGGGCATCCAAGCTCCAAGCATCGTTCCGTTGCAAAATCACGCGTCGCGTCAGGATGGGTGAAACGGTGAACAAGGAGACCGTTCATCAACTAGTTTGGTGACAAGCGGTAGCAAAAGTCTCCCGTGGCACGCAGGCTAAACGTGTTTCTCTATCACCTCGATCAGACACTTTCTGAAATATGATACTGACTGTTCACCCAACTAAGTAACATGAAGTGGATCAGGAGCCAGTCTTTATAAGACCGGGTAAAGACTGTAATGAGATAAATAGGCTAGGCGAAGACAGGAATTACGTTCTCCGTTCTTGTTCCTCCACGACCAAATCCAAATTTCAAGAGAAAAACGGCATATTGCTGCGCAGCCTCACTGCATAAACACAGCCAAGACTCGAAGAAGTGCGACTGCCTGCATAAATTTGAACCAACACCCGCAGCACATCTCCCCGTCATTCTTTCATCCACAACCCATGGGTAGTCAGCAGAGCAAGACTGCAAGCTCGCCACAGCCAGAATCGAGTACCACTGCCAGTCATGGCACACAGAAATTGCTAAACCGGATGTCGATGAAATTCAAGAGTCATGGGTCGAGATCATCTTTAAGGCAGGAGAAGAATGGAACAGTAACACCGGTGAGTTTTTCGCGAATTCTGTTAGCGGTCGGGACCTTCCAAGTACCGCACAATTTCTGGGTTTCCGTCGCTGGAAGGGGCAGTCTGGACTCTGTGGAGATCAGACAATGTGGGTGCTGCGCCCGGTGGCTGTGTAGCCTTCACTTGAGGGACGAAAACGAATTTGCACTATCAATTCAACGATCAGCCGCACAAATACACCTTGTCCAATTACTCTCATCTTCTATTTCCTTTCATCCCTGCTGTAAAGCAAACTTTTGTTTCTCACCTTCGGTCTCTAGTCTATTGAAGCGGAGCCCACTGACGAGGAACAGCGCCCAGCATCGGACACTTTGACAGCAGGAAGACAGGAGACATCGAATATCACTGGGGCGTCCCAACCGTTATCAACATCACAACCCATTGAATCTGAACCATCATCTTCCACCGCCTCAGAAGGTCCTTTGGTACAGCAAGAGTCAAGTACTACAACCATCGGGAGCGCGATAAAGGACACGGAATCGCATAACCAACAGCACCAATCGAACACCATCATGCCTTCAAACGCGACTGTTCCATGCCAGGTCAGCATTTTTTCGCGGTGGATCATCCTCGTTGCTGATGTTTCGTGATAGTATCGCACTGGCAGAACCCTTGGGAGCGGAACATATGCTATCGTCAAGGAGGCCATCCACATCAAGACGGGCAAATATTTTGCATGCAAGGTTATCAACAAGAAACTCATGGAGGGGAGGGAATACATGGTGAGCTGTCCACAGTATCCCACGTTTGTCGGGCCATCTCATATCTGTTCAGGTTCGAAATGAAATTGCCGTGTTGAAGAGGATATCGAGCGGGAACCGAAATGTTGTGACACTTCATGACTACTTTGAGGTGCGTGTGGGACGTTGTAAATTCGTTTTTTTACTGCAAGCTCAAATGATCGCGTTTTAGACTGCTCACAACCTTTATCTCTGCTTCGACCTTTGCACCGGTGGTGAACTTTTTGATCGCATCTGTGCCAAGGGTAACTACTACGAAGCCGATGCCGCCGATCTAGTACGAACCATCCTGAAGGCGGTCAAGTATATCCACGCTGCTGGAATTGTCCACCGTGGTAAGTCAGGATGCTCTATTATTGAACTACCGACAAATGATTTCATCCCTGGGCGCCGTTGCTAGACCTCAAACCTGAAAACTTGCTCTTCCGCACACCCGCTGAAGACGCCGACATCATGATTGCTGACTTTGGGCTCAGCCGATTGATGGACGAGGATAAACTCAACATGCTCACTGAAATCTGTGGGACACCCGGTTATATGGCTCCGGAAATCTTTAAGAAGAGTACGTTCATTGTTTGGGCCATTCATTCAAAGTACTCATACTTCCTCTTCATCAGCTGGCCATGGTAAACCCGTCGACGTCTGGGCTATGGGTGTGATCACCTACTTCCTCCTTGCCGGGTACACTCCTTTCGACAGGGACAGCCAACAAGCCGAAATGGAAGCTATCATTGCCGGAGACTACAAATTCGAACCCCACGAATACTGGGCGAACGTGTCCGATACAGCACGGGAATTTATTAGGGAATGCCTTACAATCGACCCTGCGAGCCGGCCTACTGCCGAGGAGGCGCTCAAGCACAAGTGGCTGGCAGACTCAGAACCCCATTTCGTGCCGGACCCCGATAGCCCGAATGGTGGCCCAACTGATCTGCTACCGCATGTGAAGAAGGCATTCAACGCTAAGCAGTTGTGTAAGTGCTGTTGTTGATGCTTTTGTTTTGGTCAGGTTGCTCAATACCTACTTTCTTTCTTATGAACAGGGCGTAAGGCAGCGTTCAGCATCCGCGCCGTGAACCGCATGTCTGCACTTGCTGGTGCGGCTGCGACCTCCGAAGCACAGAGACTCAGAGGGGACGTTCTCAAG